CCAACTTCCCGGCAGCCAGCAGTCTGGGCCGAGCCAGCAGCCGCTGTCAGACCAACAGCCCCCCCCGAGCCATCTGCCCCCGTCAAAGGGAAAAGAGAAAGCTTCTTCTTCCCATGTCCCAAAGAGCAGGAAGACCAAGGGTCCTTCGAGGTCGGAGGCGGATCTTGTGCGGAAAAAGAGACGCAGGGAAAAAATACCGGTGGCAGAAACGTGGACGCCGACGGTCCCTATTCCCGACATCGACATTCCGCTGGCGCCGAGAGAGCGCGTGCTTATTCCAGGGGCTAAAATTATGGACCCCAAGTTCCAACTCCCGGATATATCTGATGCCGAGATTGGGGCGATGCTAAAACTTCCTCCTCGCTTCTCCCTAATCTTTCAGGCTCTTTATGAGTCATTTCTCGAGCCACATTGGGTTGCTGCCGCCCAATATTCTTTGGTTGACCGTCAGCGAAAATAAATTTCCTTCCAAATCCATGTAAGACTCCTTTTTTTTTTTTCGTTTTTCTGACCTTTAACTTTTCAGAGCCTGGTCCTCTCCATTCTCAACCTCCTTGACCTTGTCAAGGTCGAGGAGCGTAAAAATGAGATGGACGAACTGGAGGCCAGGCTTTAGTCCCTTGTTTCCGACGCCAAACAGAAGCTAGATGATGTCGTCGAGAAGAGGGACGTGGCCTTGGCCAAGCTGGAGAGTTTGGAAGAAGAACTACAAAAGTTAAAAATGAGATCGCGAGTCTCAAGGAGCGGGCGGACCTATCTGACAAAAAATTGTCTGAAGCAGCTGGGGAAGCGGAAAGGCGTTTTGCTGAGGGGAAAACTGAAGGGAAGAGGGAAGCTGAGGCAGAAGCTGCATTTGCTTTCGACGTCAGGCGCGCCGAGGTTATTGAGGAGTTCAAGGCTTCTCAGGAGCTCAGTGACATCCGCACCAGGGATTTTCAATCTGCGGGTCAACAAATTGTCGACCTGATCAAGAAGGAGCGTCCTGAGTGGGATTTGATTTTCCTTTATAACTCTCCTCCCCCTGCTGGTGACGATAACGTTTCTCCGCTTGGTGACGGTGAAGAATCGGCGGCTGGCGGCGAGGCCTGAATGATTTGTACATGTCTCCATTTTGTTTTGTAACTTTATTGTTGATTCGGACATCTTTTGTTTTATCTGCTCCTTATATATATATATAAAAGACAACAGTTTTAATTTATACCTTGATTTGCAATTGCTGCTTTCTTAGAACTCCTTAGAATTTTACTAAGTCTTCGCCTTTCCTCTTTGGAAGATCTGACGTCGAGTGTACCTCTTGGGGTCATCGTCTTAGAAAATTCCTTGGAATTTCTCTAAGCCTTTGTCTTTCCTCCTTGGAGGATCTGACGTCGATTGTACCCCTTGGGGTCGTCGTCTTAGAAAATTCATTGGAATTTCGCTAAGCCTTTGTCTTTCCTCTTTGGAGGATCTGACGTCGATTGTACCCCTTGGGGTCGTCGTCTTAGAAAATTTCTTGGAATTTCGCTAAGTCTTTGTCTTTCCTCCTTGGAGGATCTGACGTCGATTGTACCCTTTAGGGTCGTCGTCTTCTCTTTTTTTTTATTAACCCGTGGACCCCTGTCCCCCCATGTCTGTCTAATATAACCTTGGTTTTTTAAGCAGACATGTTATTAAGGGGTGAATTCTTTTCCTTCTACAAACATGTCAATTTATTCAATTTGTAAAGAATGTACAATTGAGATATGTGAGAATTTCATACATTATTAGTAGTACAGCCTTAGTTGTTCTGCATTCCACAGGTGTTGAATCTTTTTGCCGTCGAGGCTCTCCAAAATGTAAGTGCCGGGACGTAGCATTTCCCTTATGCGGTAGGGCCCTTCCCAAGTTGGGCCCAGTGGACCAGTATTCTTGGGTTTCGTGCTTTGCGTTACCCTTTTCAACATTAGGTCCCCTGGGATGAACCTTCTCTGTCGAACTTTCTTGTTGTAGTATCGCGCCGTTCTTTGCTGATAGGCGGCGAGACGCAGTTGGGAGTCGAGCCTTTTTTCTTCCAACAAGTCGAGTTCTCCGTTCATGCCTTCCGCGTTGTCATCATCGTTATGGACGACGGTTCTTAGAGTCGGCGTTTCGATTTCTATGGGGAGCACTGCTTCGACGCCATATGCCATGGAGAAGGGTGTCTCCCCCGTAGTAGTTCGGCTCGTCGTTCTGTATGCCCACAAACCTTGGGAAGTTCCTCGGCCTATTTCCCTTTCAGATCGTCGAGTTTCTTCTTGAAGGTATACTTTAATATCTTATTGACCGCCTCGACTTGTCCATTTGATTGTGGATGGATCGGCGCGAAAAAATCTTTCCGGATGCCTAAGCCATTGCACAATCTGCGTGTTGAGGCGTTGTCGAACTGCTTTCCGTTGTCGGATACTATTGAGTGGGGAACCCCGAACCTGCATACGATGTGGTCCCACATGTATTTGGTGCAGGCCGCTTCCGTGGTTGTAGTTAGGGCCTTTGCCTCTGCCCACTTTGTGTAGTAGTCCGCTGCAACGATTGCAAACTTAAATCCTCCGGGTGCAAGATGTAACGGCCCGATCAGGTCAACCCCCCATTTGGCGAAGGGCCAAGGACTGAGAATGGACGTCAAATGTTCTGGGGGCGCTTTAGGAATTGTGGCATACCTTTGGCATTTATCGCAACGTCGGGAGTATTGAAAAGCGTCCTTTTTGAGCGTGGGCCAATAGTATCCTTGCCGTAAAACCTTTAGGGCCAAAGATTGCCCCTAGTGTGGTTACCGCAGATCCCTTCATGGATTTTGTGGAGGACCTTCTGTGCTTCGGCCTCATCCAAGCACCGCTGTAGAGGGGTTGAGTAGCCTCGTCGGTAGAGCAAGCCATCATACAATAAGTACCTAGCAGCTTTATACCTGATCCATCTGGCTTCATCTTTATCGTTTGGCAATTGTGCATCCATTAGGTATTGGATGAGGGGAGTCATCCAACTTTCACCTACTCAGACAATTAATGCCTTAACCTTTTCTTCTATAGTTGGTCGCTCCAATTCCTCAATGGGAACGACCCCCAGTGTGTCGGATTCTCTAGAAGATGCTAGCTTTGCCAGAGCGTCGCTTTGCCAGAGCGTCGGCGTTTGCATTTTCGGTTCGTGGTATCTGGAGTATCTCGTAATTTTTGAACTTAACGAGTTCTTCTTTTACCTTTCTCAAGTACGCTCCCATCTTCTCGCCACACGCTTGGTATTCTTCCTTTACCTGCGCGACGACCAATAGAGAATCGCTGAAGACGCTGAGCCTTTCGATTTTTAGGTGGCTGGCTAACCGTAGTCCGGCAATTAGTGCTTCATATTCCGCCTAATTGTTTGATGCCGTGAATTTAAATCGGACCGCCGAGGTAATTTTGTGGCCTTCGGGCTGATTAACTGGACACCAGCTCCTGACCCATTTTCACTCGACGCCCCATCCACGTAGAGCTTCCATTTTGTAACCTCGTCTTCTCCAGATGCGGCGGGAGCTGGCCTATGAGAGAACTCAGCCAGGAAATCGGCGAGCGCTTGGCCCTTGATCGCAGTTCTTGGCACGTATTTTATGTCAAACTGGCTTAATTCTACCGACCATTTGAGGAGTCGACCGGAAGTTTCAGGCTTTTGTAGGGCCTGTCTCAGTGGGCGGTTTGTGAGAACCTGTATTGTGTGAGACTGGAAATAGTGCCGAAGCTTCCTTAAAGCTACCATCAGGGCGAGGGCTGGGCGCTCCATCTCACTGTGTCTTGACTCGGCGTTGAGGAGCCTTTTGCTCACGTAGTAGATCGGCAGTTGCACCCTCTCTTATTCTCTTATTAACATGGAGCTTACGGCGTGTTGGGACACGGAGAGGTATAGGCTAAGGTCCTCATCGATGTTTGGTTTTGACAAAATTGGGGGCTTGCCCAAATCCTCTTTCAATTTCTGGAAGGCCTCTTCACATTGGGGTGTCCATTCAAAGCGCTTGCTTCCTTTCAAAGCGTCGAAGAAGGGGACGCATTTGTCGGTCGCTTTTGATATGAACCTATTTAAGACGGTGACACATCCTGTTAATCTTTGCACTTCCTTTGGCTTTGTATGGGACCACATATCCTGTATGGCCTTGATTTTCTCGGGGTTAGCTTCAATCCCACGGTTGCTGACCATAAAGCCGAGGAATTTTCCTGACCCAACTCCAAAGGCGCATTTTTGGGGATTGAGTTTCATGTGGTATTTTCTTAACACACCAAACATTTCTCCCAGATGATTAACGTGATGGCTAGCCCTGGTACTTTTTACTAGCATATCGTTGACATAGACCTCCATTGTTTTGCCGAGCTGTTGAGCGAAAATTATATTCACAAGCCTCTGGTAGGTAGCCCCTGCATTTTTTAGGCCGAAAGCATCACCTTGTAGCAGTAGAGGCCCCTGTCGGTTATGAAGGATGTGTGCTCCTCGTCGGCTGGATGCATGAGGATCTGGTTGTATCCGGAGTAAGCGTCCATAAAGCTTAGTATCTCATGTCCCGCCGTGGCGTCGACCATCTCGTCTATGCGAGGGAGTGGAAAGCCATCCTTTGGGCAGGCTTTGTTGAGATCGCTGAAGTTGACGCATGTCCTCCAATTCCCGTTGGGCTTGATCACTAGAATGGGGTTTGATACCCAACGTGGGTAATGGGACTCCCTGATGAACCCATTATTGATCAGCTTGTCGACCTCTTCTTTCAGCGCCTCATACCTCTCGGGGTTCATCGGTCGACGTTTCTGTCGTTTTGGCGGATATGAGGGGTCGACGTTTAAGGAGTGACATATTACCTCGGCATCGATCCCTTCCATGTCAGAATGATTCCAGGCAAAGACATCTAGGTTCTTCATGAGGAAGTTTTTGATCTCAACTTTAAGTGATGGGGCTAAGCCTAAGCCCACTTTTAGCACTTTTGTGGACTCGCCTTCACCAACTTAGATCTCTACCAACTGCTCAACGGGTTGAGACCATGTGACTTCCTCTTGGATTCAGGGGTCTATGTCCTTGACAAGGCCCTGGTGAACCACCCTTGTCTCCTGTCTTCCTGGTTGGTCATATCCGCGCAGGGCGTCAGAGTATGCAACCATAGCTTCATACTGGTTGCTCTTCATTTTTCCTACGCCATTTAGGGTGGGGAACTTGACCTTTTGGTGGTAGACGGAGGTTATTGCCCTTAATGCTTGAAGGGTTGGTCTCCCGATTACCGCGTTGTACTGGGAGCTTCCTTTTATGACCACGAAATTGGCCATTGTGGTTGCCTGTCGAGGTTTCTCTCCGGCGGTTATGGGTAGCCAGATGGTCCCTTGAGGGATGACGGAGTCACTAGTGAAACCATATAGCGGCCTGGAGGTTTTCTCCAATTGTTCCTTTTGGATCCCCATTTTCTCCAAGTAATCGGAGTATAGGAGGTCCACCGAGCTCCCATTGTCCACCAGTATTCTGCACACGGTGTGGTTTCCTATCATGGCCTCCACCACCAAGGCATCGTTGTGGGGGAAATGAACCCCACTAGCGTCATCCTCGTTAAAGGCCACGTCGGTGTGGCTGTACCTTGGGGTTTTTGTAGCGGAGACACTCCAGAATCGCTCCTGATAAACCCCCCTGGCCTCGCGGACGTAGTCCTTCTGAGACCTCTTTAAGTCTCCTCCTATATAGGGACCGCCGAGGACAGTCCGTATGATGCCGACGGGTTCGCGATCCTTTAGGCGCTGGTTCTCCTCTCTGCATCGACCGTCATTCTGCCCACCATGGCCGTCATTTCGAGGTCTTCGTTCGGCCCTGAATTCTTGTAACCTTCCCTCGCGGATCACTCTTTTGATTTCGTCCTTGAGGTCGGCGCAATCATTGGTGTGGTGGCCGACATCGCCGTGGAACCTACAGAATTTCTTCTGGTTCCTTCAGCTGGGATCTAACTTCATTGCTTCCGGTCGGCGCAGCAAGTTCCCGTGGCCGACCTGGTTGAAGACCTCCTCGACTCCTACCGTTAACTCATGGTAGGAATCGTACTTTTGGAACAGTCGAGGCTTACGGGTATCCTCTTACCTCGGCTTCTTGGCTTCCGGAGCGTTTGTCATCGCGGTGGGCTGCTTGTCTCCGTTTCCTCCACCTCGACGCTTCTTCCCATCCTGCTTCGCAGGCGCTGACCCTTGTTCGGTTCCTTTATTCTTGTTGGTCCGGTGCTCGGGGTCGTTTGCGTCCGCCTCTTCGGCGTTGATGTACCCTTGCGCTCGCGCCAAAAACTCCCTGTAGCTGGACGGAGGTTTTTGGTTTAGCTCTCTTTTGAACGGGGTAATTTTCTTCATGCTAGATAAGGCCCCCATCAAGGCCTCTCTATCTGTTATATCCATCGTGGCGGCGACAACTTCCCCATACCTTGCGAGCCATTCCCTCAGTGACTCGTTTGGCTTTTGGTATATCGTCGTCAGATTTTGCTTTGGGGGGACGTACTTTTTGACCCCTATGAATTGGAGGGAAAACACTTCCTTCAATTCGTCCCAGCTCGAGATAGAGTTTGGCCTTAGCGTTCAGAACCACCTCCGGGCAGAATCCGTCAAATGGTTTCGAAAGGCTCGGCACATGATCTCCTCGGCGTAACCGTGTAAGAGCATGTGCCCAATGTACATCTCCAGATGGTCGTCAGGATCTCCTCGCCCATCATATGGTGGGATTGACGGTGACCTGTATTTATCGGGGAGAGGGGGAGCCATTATTTCTTCGGTAAATGGATGGTCATGTGTGCAGCTGGGCGTGATATCGACGTTTACCACCTCAGCCACACGACCTATATTCTCTTTTAGGCCCGCCACGTCCCCTGTCAGTTTTTGCTCCAGGTTGGCCATACGTTCCATGATGGCGCGTGCTTCCTCTGTCGAAATGGCCGAGCCGGCTACTCTCGACGCTTCCGCCCTCTGAACGTTGCGTCCGCCTCGGGCCTGGCCGTCTGCCTGTACTGATCCTGAGTCTCCTGGCGGGTTTCCACCTAGATTCTGGGATAGTATCTCGGGGTTTCCTGGACCTCTCGGTACCCGGTCCTCGGGAGCTCGGAGTCCGGCGGCCCCTAAACGGCTGCCGGGAGATTGGGAAGGCCGAGGCCTAGGAGGGCCCCGGCGATTCTCACTATCTCCGGTTCCCTCTTGGATAAGTGGGTAATCGCCGTGGTTCAGATCTCCGGCCATGGCGTGTCCCTGTGGCATCGGGGCATTTTCTAATGGCGGCATGGAGTTCCTTCCATCTAAGCGCTCCACCACGGTCATTAGCCCACGTACCAGCTCGGTTAGAGTGGTCAGTTGGGCCTGCATCTGCATCGGATCCGGCCGTGGCGCGTCTGGAGGTGGAACTTCGTTTCTGACCGGGCGTAGATCTCCTTCCATCCCGCTATTCCCTGGATGGGCGGCGGTTTATCACTATGTTGTTGGGGGTCGAACGCTTTCGGTCCCCAGCGGAGTCGCCAATTGTTGACGATCAAATTTCAGCAATAAAAAACCAACCGGATTACCTCTTGGTTTCCCTTCGGATTACTGGCCGAGTGTGTGTAGTTTAATGTATCAGGAGTTGTTGGATATGTGTGTACGTGTATTTACTAAATCATACATAGATAAATGACACAAGAAAGTTTATAGTGGCTCACTCTATAAACTTCAGAGCTACATCCACTGTAATCTTGTATTTCTTTTTTGGGGAAAATTACAATTTACAATAATTGCTCTTATTGAATCTGTTCTTCTTTGGAGTTTTTCGAACCCCCTCCTTGCGGGGGGTCTTTCTCCTTTTATATTGGGCTTCCTTCGCTTAGGGAGTTTCCTTCATAGGTAGAAGCACTCAAGTGCTCTTCTTTGGTAGGCCTAGACGTAGCCCACTAATTAGCACTGTTCACTCAGCCAATTAGTCTTCCATTACGGCTCTGTGCTTCTCCGTAATGCTTTCCATTCCCCTGTGGGAGCGGTCTGACAGCTTACAATTAATGCCTGCAGACCTCCTCCATTTCTGCACGTAACCCGTCACGTCCTCTAAAGAACGTTCCCCTCGTCGTCAGCACTGCGTAGCCCAACCGCCTTCTTCAGTGGCCCTTTCTGCGGTCGAGAGATCTTCATCCCTCAGTGTCGACGGTGCAATCAGTCGACGCCATAAGGGATCGTCGCTCTAACTTGGACTTCGTCCTTGGGCCTTTGCAGCGGAGTAGGAGGGGTCCGTAAGCGTCGAGGGTTCCTTACTTGGTGGGGATTAGTCAAGGCCACGTGTCGCGGTATACTTCGTCCACGCGTCCGTCACATTTTCCCACACAACAGGAGGTTTATATGATTAGTAGAAGTATGGTGACAATAGTTTTAAGCTATTTATCCAATATTTAACTAAAGTGATGTAATAGGTCAGTTCTCATTTTGTCAATTCTAGCAAGTACCAAATTTAGTGAATAACTTGGGATCTCTAACGTTGTCTGCATTAGAAATGCAAACTTATATCTTAAAGAAGCATAAAACAAGGAGATTTTGATTGTACTAATCCCTTTTTTCGTTAATCAATTGATCCAAATTACTGGATTTTTTTTCTTAAAATCATATTAATGGAGTTTTTCAGCTTCTTTGCATTATTGGCATGTTACATGCTTCGAGCTGATTGGCAAGCAGCTCAACACTTGGGTAACCACGTTTTTAAGTACTTACTATTTTAGAACCGCAACAATATGAGCCCAAAAAAAAAAAAAAAAAAAGCAAGTGTTTGGTGGGATACTCGTGTTTTTTTTTTTTTTTTTTTTTTTTTTAATCCTTGAAAGTTGGTAGGAAACTCATGTTTAATTCTCATGTTTCTGTCTAATTAGAAATTCGATCTCTTAAATAATTGATTAATGGTTAACTTTTTTCTTTGTCGGTTGTGATATGCTAAGTATTGTTACCATATCATAGTTTATTGCTCATAAAAGAACTTGAACTTCAATAATATCTATTTTCTTTCAACCGCACCTTCACATTGACCAATTATTTATCCTGCAGTGCTCCAACTCTTCTTACAATTTGATCTTCTTTCATAATCATTTGTTTATTTGTTTGTTTGTTTTTGTTTTATTTTTAGTATTTTGCCTTTATTTTTTCACTAACTAGAGGTTCGATCTCTTACTCCTACAAACAACAGCGGAACTGCATGAGGATGAGGATGAGGCTGAGTGGGGTGGCCCCACTCAAATTTTTTTTAAAAGAAATATTACCTTTAAAAATTTTAAAATTTTATATTTAAATTCCTACTGAAATAATATATACCCCATTAAAATAAATATATTTTTTTATATGTCTTTAAAAAAAAGTTTAATGTACACTCCTATTAAAATGAATGGTTAGTTCCGTCACTGCCTATCAAACGTGCGTTTGGTAAATTGGATTTTATGTTATAAATTCTCGTATTGTTATATTTTTTTGAGTAATTCATTGCCTTTGAATATGCACGGTATTTTCTCCTGTGAATTGCACCTTATAACTGGATCATAATTAATGGACCTTAATCCTTCTTCAATTTTGTTCCGCTTCCGTTGTTGTTTTTCCCTTCTCATTCGTTTTCCTGTGTATGCCATTGTTGTTTACGTTGTCGCCATTTTACTTTTCTTTCGTTCGTCCTTAGAATGTCGTTTTTTTTAATGTTTTGTAGGATTTATGTTTCTGTCATTGTTAAAGTTGATCCCTAAGTTGTTGCACTTGCTTATAATATTTTTGTCGTTCCTTTTTTTCTTTGTCCTTACGTGTTCGTCATTCATTAGCCTAGTGTTGTTCTTCCTTTTTATGATACTGTTAAAATTATGTTGCCGGTTTTATGTTTCTACAGTCACTTTACCGATTTGAGTTTTTAATTTTTAATTTTTATAGTTAAAATCTCTCAGTAAACGTCACATTTAATTTTTTTTATTACAGTTAAAAACTTTAAAAAAATATCAAATATCAACTTAAATTAAAAACTCGAATTCGTAGAACAAATAGAAGTCTTAGACTCTAAATATTCAGGACTCACTTCATTGTGAATTGTGATGTGTGACACCAATAATGTTTCTTGCAGGGTCAATGAGGGGCGTTCTGATAAACCAAGGTGCCACAGAGTTAGTTCTTGTATTATCCTTCGCCCACACGCATGCCAAGTTTTCTGCCAATTGGTTAATTGGTCCTGTAGAAAAAAATTATCAACAAAGAGGCCGGAGGAAAATAATAATAATAATAATAAGAGAGAAGAAAGCTTCAAAAACCATTCGGCGTAATATAATGTAAGTATTAAGTTGTGGAGCTTAATTATCCTCCTTATGCAGAGATTGGGGAGGTGTGAGATTTCTCTTATAGCCTTTTTCATCGTAGTGAATTATTACACTTAACCCTCACATTAATGGGAACCACTAAATATTATATGTGTTCTTGTTTGTTTGATTTATCTCTGCGATTTTATTGCTCTCAATAATGACAGTCAAATTCTTTATGTAAAGAGTTAGTTACCTTTAGCTGCACAATACAGCAAGTCGGTAAATGTTGCAAGTATTGGTACTAATTTGAGTCTTTTAATATTTTATAAGACTATAAATAATGTAGAAACGTAAAATAAAAGAACACGAGAGAGAGAAATTGTATTGCGGTTCGGTAACAACTTATTCCGCGGGGCCACGCCCACATGATGAACAATCCACTAAGAACTCTTTTACAATTCAATTGAACTTAATCTACTTGAGACTCCCTCTCTAAGAAGACGCCTATGAACTTGTAATTTCCCAATGGACTTGAACAGCGAGATCCCCTCGACTTTTTAACATTGGAATCCCTCCAACTAAGTTTTTCTCTCGAAAAACACTTAAATAATCTCTCTTGAATACAAGTGCTCACCTATCTCACAACCCAGCAAAACTAATCAAAAGGTGTACAATCAACCGAGAGACTCTTTGACTAAATAGGCAAAAATTTAACAGCTTGACGACTTCTTCAATTAATTCGCTGAACCAAATCTGTTGCAGATCCTTGTTGCAACAATAACTGAAACATAGTTGTCAAGGTCGACTTTCTCAAAACCAGTCCGAATCAATATGCTATAATTCTGAAACCTTCCCGAAACTGATATATGAACTTGGACACGTTCTTAGGAGACAGAGGAAGATCATCCAGCTACGAAATCTCCATCAAATATCAATCAAATCACCAATTAACAATTTACCATCTTAGGATCAAGTTGACTTTTAAAAAAAAAAAACTGAATTAAGTTTCCAGATTCTTATAGAAACCTTCCATAAAGAGCTTGCCAGCTGCACATCTATTCTCAAACACAATCAGCCAATCAATCATTTCCAAAATAATGCCAATCATAAAACGATTAGAATCAATACAGAATTTGGGAA